CCCCGCCCGCCCAACCCAGAGCCGTGGCCTTCCAACGTGACATGCCGCTAATCTGCCGTGACTCAGAAAATAGAGGCTAGAGACTGAGTATCTCAGCCGGACCCTCTTCTCTCCTCCAGTTTCCTCCTGGGACCATCACTGGCTGAACCCAACTAGAAGCCAGAGGGCAAGGAAGCCCATCAGTACAGTCTCTACAAGTGCAGCTCCCAGGGAGCAAGCACAGTGGAGAGGGCTGGTGAGGGGACAGACAAACAAGCTATCCTGCACTGAGATGACTACAATCACCACCATATGGCCGGCCTCCCTCCCACCCACACCTCTCAAGCTAATTATTCCAGCCACTGTTATAAAGTCAGATTCATCCAACATGAAATTGCTTTGTACCAGTTCATCCCTGACTTAACCTAGAAAATTTCTCCGGATTTTCAGAGCAGCTTCCCTTCCTACTTCTCTGCAGTGTTTATTTCCTCGGCGTGTTTCCTGTAATTTGCAAAGATTAAAGATTTAAGCTTCTTTTATTGCAATGTACTTTCCCTGCCATATTATGTGTTCTGCCCATCACTCCCTGCCTCCTCCCGCAGAGCCCCCAAATCCTCTCTGCACCAGCAGAAAACACTCCACAGGTAGACTTCACCTCATGTGGCCATGGCCATGCTCCTGAAAAATGAAAGAGAGGTTCAGCCTCTGCATGTTGAACTCACCTACCACCCTCCTCCTGATTCAACATCATCTTTCATGTTAAGCTGTCTGGGTTTCAGCTTGGTCCCAATTAACAAGGGCTCCTAGCACTGTGTGTGTAGTAACTTCTTCTTTCTCTGTGCTCTCTCTCTTGCTCTCTGGGGCTTTGAATCCTGGTGTTCATGATGTGTAAACAAATTCTTCACTGCAGTAGGGGCCTGCACTCTTTGAAGCAGCTCAGTGTTGAATCATTTAGTGGTGAGAGGAATACGAGAATGTGAGTAATTCTATCCAGCACCAGTCTGGGTTAATGCCATATCTGGCTTCCTGAATGTGCGACCTGTGCCATCACACAGGCCCCTGTGCTCAGAAGAGCCATACTCATGGCTTAATGCTCTGCTCTTACTGTCTTAAAACTCGATTATTTCTTAATAAAGGTCTCACATTTTCATTTTGCACTGGGATCCAAAAATCATGTGGGCGATCCGAGTTATTGTGATTGCCGTTGTTTTGTGTGCAGCCCACCTACATATCAGCAAATGAGACCTCCCGAGCCCGGTGACAGGGGAGGAAACCTATTGCTTGGTGGCACGTGGTGCTGGTGTTTTTAGGGTCCAGACTGGAGGGAACTGTTGTCCACAGAGGGAGAATAATCCACAGAGGAAAGTTATATGAAGGAACAGAAACAAACTCTATCTGGAGTTGTAAGAATAAGTTGTGCTTCACGAAAAGCAGGGCCAGAGGGGCTCAGCCAGGGTCTCCAGACAAGACACGCACTGGGACAGCTGCTTAGGAAAGCAGGGTGATGGAGTCCTCCTCAGCCCCGCTGCTCTGAGAGGGCCGGGGTCTGTGCACAGCTGGCATTCGACAACGGCACTGCCCAGTAAGCTTGTCACTGACCACGTGTGACTATTTAAATTTAGGTTAGCAAATTAAAATTAAATTAAATTAAAAATAAATAAAGCAAGCAAGGAAAAGGTAAATATATGAGGCGATGGATGGGTTAATTAGATGGGAGAAATCCTTTCACGACATACACATGTATCAAATCATCATGTACGCTTCAACTATCCTACAGTGTTATCTGTCAATTATACCTCAGTAAAGCCAGGGGTAATTAATTAGTTGAGTAACTAAAATGTCAGATTCTCGTTGCGCTAATCACACTTCACATGGCTAGTGGCACATTGGATAGCACAAATCATAGAACATTCCATCTTGGCAAAAAGTTCTACTGAAAAGCTCTAAAGAGAACAGACACCTTACCCATCACCCTCTTCCGCTCATGCCCATTGGTTGCCGTATGTTGGTAAAGACATGAGTTTACTTTAGGATTTTACTCTGCTCCTGCTGCTTCTGGAATACGCGCCCCTTGCGAATCCTAACCCAGTCTGATTAGCTTTGGGCAGCTCTCACTGACACAGCCGTGCCCCGCCTGTCTGCTTTGCCCATTCCTCGCAGCATTTCTGTTCCGTTTTCATTTCTCCCTGTGAGCCACAGGACCCCTCCTTTGAGCCTGTCTTACTGGCTCTGAGGTTTCTTAAGCTCAGTTCTACAGCAGGCGCACAGCTTCAGCTTGCTGTGGAAAACAAGTTTTGGCATCTCTCCTGTTCCGATTCCTGAATGTGAGTTCAGTTCACCCAAGCACAGGCATCCTATAAAACATTGCTCCACGTTCACTCCTCTCCCCACTGAGAGCCTATTCTTTGGGCTCCTTGGCCTCTCCTTAACCCCACTCATGGGCAGGCCTTAGAGAACACAGCCACAGAAAGCTGACAGCTCACCTCCCCCTCTTCCCATCTATCCTCCGTCTCCCACAGCCCTCCTCCCAGTCTATAGAAGAAATGGGCACTGGAATGAATAGAAGCACCCTCTTCTCTTGAGGCATTCACCACTGATGAGAGAGAGGGACACAAAACCACAGAGCCGTTGACTGCTGGAGGAGAGGGGGACGTGTTTGTGGATTGCCTGGGACTCTCTCCCTCTCTCCAAAGACGTAGGATGAAAGGCCAAGGGTCAAGGGTACCTTTTGCCTATACCCTGTGTCAGCCACTGGACTCCTCATCTAGACTAGGAAGGCCTACCTGTCCTTCACTCTAGTTCATGTCTATCTACTAAACCTTTCTATGCACCCCCAACCTTGGAATTCTCACCCAGCTCTGGACCCTTTCCCCTGCCTTGGTCACCAGTCCCCAGGCTATTCGTGAGTCCTGTCCATTTGCCTGGCCCTAGTCCTTCCTTCCTCACCTTTCTCTTCTGTGCCAGTTTTAGTGTGTGTCTCAAAACGCTCCCCGAACTGTGGCCTTAGTCCTGACAGATGCCTACTTCCATTTCTCCCACCCCCACCATCTTCCCTCATTTCTGCATTTACCCATCCTGTCTCCACTCTCTTCTTTTAGAACATTCCTTGATTTGGACTCTAAACTGGCCTTGCCCGTTAATAAGAGAGTGAAGTTCGAGTCACAGATTTTCACTCGTACCTGCTAGCTGCCTGACCCTGTGCAGGACCTCTGAGATCCAGAGAGAAAGCTCAGAACCTGGCCTCAGGCTGCTCCAGCTTGTGAAAGCAGTAGTCAGTTAAAGGATTATTACATGGTGTGGCAGAGGCTTTATCAGGCATATGTGAAGAATTTCACAGAGCAAAGGGAGTCACCTTAGGTGGGGCTGGGGACTAGATCTTCAGGGATAAGTAGGGAGATGGTCAGGTGGACTGGGTAGAAAGACATTCCAGGCAGAAGGAGATCTGCATGCATTCGTGCAGAGCAAGGACCAATAACAATCAGTCCGGCAGCCCTGGAGTGTTGGACCCCACAGTGCCACAAAGCAGAAGGCTGCCCAGAGCAAAGCTAGAAAAGGGGCGGGTTAAGGTGGCTGGGCTCCTTATAAGCACAGGAGAGAGTTACACAGACTTACATTTCGGAAAGCTCACTCTGCGTGCTGTTTGGAACGAGTCAAGACAGAGAAGAAAGCACCGTAAAGGCTTATGTATGTCATAGGTGCATTCTCCACCAATTTTGAGTGCCAACATACAGGATGAGCCAGGATTTTCCATCCCATCACCTTCCTCCACCCCTGCCACCTCTCACTGCCAAGGGGCATTTCTCCTGCCAAAGTAAAAAAGGCAGAAACTTCTCTTCTAATTGTCCATTTCCCACAGCTCCAAGCGGCAGACATGTGGTGTACAATACAGGCAAGCCCTATGTTTTGATTTCTATGGCTGTATCATTGTATTTTTCTCCTCCTGATCTCATCTTCAGCTCACAGCCCAGTAGAAAAGTTAGTAAATAAAATAAAGGTGCTTGATTAACATCATAATCCCATTCTATAGTTCTGGAGACTAAAGTAAGGTGTTGGCCTACTTGGCCTGAATTCATTTCTGAATGCTACTGAAACAAATTACCACAAACTTAGAGGCTTTGAACAACATAAATTTATTATACTACAGTTCTAGAGACCAGAAGTCCAAAATGGGTCTCAATGGGCTAAAATCTGGGTGTTACCAGGGCTGCATTCTTCCTGGAGGCTCTTGAGAAAAATCCGTTCCCTTGCCTTTTCTGGCTTCTGGCAGCGGCCTACATCCCTTGGCTTGTGGCTCCTTCCTCCTACTTCAAAGCCAGCAGCATAGCATGTTTCCATTCTCTCTCTGACTCTGATCCTCCTGCCTCCCTCTTACAAAAGCCCTTGTGATAACATTGGGACACATGACGAATCCAGGAAAATCTCTCCATCTCAAGATCCCTCATTTCATCACATCTGCAATGTCCTTTTGCTGCAGAAGGTAACAGATTGACAGTTTCCAGGGATAAGAAAGTGGACGTCTTTGAGGGCTTTTATTCTGACTACCACATGGCCTCTCTGGTGTCCCTTTGAGCTTTTCGGTCCCAGGACTGCATAAGCATCTGTTATCTCTGACCCACGGTTCTATCCACCTTTGTTCTTTCAGAGGAAACGACGTTTGAAGCAGGAGTGAAAGTTCAGATCCACAGTCAGTCAGAGCCACCTTTCATCCAAGAACTGGGCTTTGGGGTGGCGCCAGGGTTCCAGACTTTCGTGGCCACACAGGAGCAGAGGGTAAGTTCCTGGGCTCTCTTGGTCAGTGGTCCTTGGCCTGTCCTGGCCACCCGAAGAGGCGTGAGGAGGAGAAATTGGATTCCCACTTCTAGAAGGTTCTGAATCCACCCAGGAGGCTGGAGCACAGCTGGTCTCAGTAAAGGGACTCACCCTGAAAGTGGAGAAGGTGTCGGCTAACCTCTGTAACCCCATTCCCTAGTACTTCCTGTCGGGTCCTAAAATCAAGTATAAAGGAAATCCATCTTATTTTCTTTTTCTCTGAATTGGTTGTTGTTGTTGTTGTTGTTGTTGTTTTTCCTAGAACATTCTGGGCAAAAATATTGGGGCAGGGGATAGGGAAGGGGGACAGATACTAAGGGAAACTGCTAACCAGAGTTTGATATGTTTCATCACTGTGTTAATATAATTCAAAATGGTCTGCAAAAAGGAAAAGGGATAGGGGTGTTATTCTCTCACAATAGAGCTTAAGTGGAGGGAAGCCCCTCGCATAGGTTCCTGCCCGCTCTCTCTGATTTAGCACAGAGAAAGGATTCTCCCAGCCAACCAGGACTGCTGCGTCGATTCTTCACGTCAGTTGAGTGAGGACTGGTACAGTCTCATGTCTGACGTGGGGTTCACATCTTAGAACGTTCACAAATTCTCAATAGGGGAGAAGTCTCACAGCAGGACTGCAGAGAAACACAGGGACACTTTCTCTTACCTCTGGTTTGCCTAGAATAGAAGCTAGGATGATGATTTGCCCTGGGCGGCCTGGGGCAAAGAGTGAGATCAGTGAGTGGTAGGAAGCACTGGCTATCAGGTGTGAGAAAGGCACTGGCTGTCAGGGGAACAGTGAAGGAGTAGTCAACACAGAGATACACATGTGACTTACAAGTTAAGCTTGTTTTTAAAACTTGACTCAAATGTCATCTCTCACCTAATACTGACCTTTAGCCATTTTATAAAACTGTATTCGAAGCTGGTTTTAAATCTGTAATGAGCTGTATTTTTGAATCTCTGAGAAAGAATTGATGGTGTAGGCCTCAGGAACTGTGCCTTGTACTTAATGCCTGGGTAGTTGCTAAAAGCCAAGATCAGCTTCTACCGCAGCACATAGTGGGTGGGAGGGCGGCTTTGAGGCAGAACAGAGGAGGCCGAGAGGTTGGCTGGGAGGCAGAGGAGGCTGGGAGGAGTCTGAGACAGGCGGTACAAGCAAAAATGGAGCATTCAAGGGTGTGCGAAGTGAGAACCAACCTGTGCACCCAGAAAACCCCATCCTTAAGGACAAAGAAAGAGGGCACGAAGCAGACGGCAGAGAGCCAAGTTCGGGGCTGAGGATGTGAGTCAGAAAAAATAGTCTCAGAGATGTAAAGTACAGCATAGGGAATATAGCCAATAATATTGTAATAACTATATGTATGGTGCCAGGCGGGTACTAGACTTATCGAGGGGATCACTTCATAAGTTATATAAATGTCTAGCTACTATGCTGTGCACTTGAAACTAATATCATATTGAATGTCAACTGTAATTGAAAAGAAATTTTTTTAAAGACTAACAGGTAAAGGTGTGCAGATAGACAGGCGGTCTGGATGAACCCAGAGCCTGAGCCGTTAGCCTAGGTGTGATAGCCAGCCTGAGTTCTGTTAAATATAAACAAAGCTGGACACTAGTTAAAGTGGCAAGGACAAATTTTAATGAGTAATATACTTATTACAATAGGAAAGAAGGTTCAGTGTGAACTGAACTCAACTTCAATTTGTACAGAGGTGACTAAGCGATTTAAAGGAAAAATCAGGGAGGAGGGAGGGGGAACAGAGAGGGCTTGAGCAGAGTCAGGGCAGCGAAAAATGACAGAATGGGAAGGAGAAGTTGGTCCACGTGAAACCGATCTGAGTTTGCTAACTGGCATTTATCCAAGTTAGGCTCCCATCTTCCCACAAAGACAGGGAGACAGAGGCCCTATCTTCTGGTGTTGGCAGGAGCAAATAGTAAATTCTTTTGGCAGCTTTGAGTTTTCTCAGGCAGAGGCTCAAAGGGGACCAGGGATAGGGGGTCTAGGGTCATCCTAGGGATGTGGCTTTGAGCTATTAGAAACTACGTTAGTGTTTGTTCAGATCTTTATAGGCTAAGGTTGAGGCCTAGTTGAAAAGAGGGCTCAGAGGGACCTGGCTAGAGTTTGGTCAAGGAGAGAATCTCTGTCAGTCCTTCCTTCTGCATGTTGTGTGGGGAAACTTCCTCCCTTCAAAGACCCAGGCATGGATTAGACTACTTACTAGCTCTGTGAGTGAATTCCTTTTACTCTCTAACGGCTAATTTTTGACTAGTTATCCAGGGCAGTTCCGACTTTGAGGTTTGTTGACTGTAACCGCCATACCTGTCATGAATGACTGACTTGTGTTGGCATTTCTCTGGTGTCCGTGTTGCCATCAGCATGCAGGGGAAGCAAGCGGTAGTCTCTGGAACCCACAGTGTAACTCCGTCTCATGCCGCTAGCCGAAGGCTGGAAAGAAGGGAGCTCTTTGTGGGCTGCTGTTTGTCATCGGCCTGAGAGAGGTGCCTATTCCTCCCCTACCTCTGCTTACCCTCTATTAGTGACACTAAAGAAATGTCTGGGCCAGGTGGGAATTTGGAGCTGATGACTTCTAAGAGTCCTTCAGTCTCTTTTCCTTTCCAATTCGAAACAGAGGGACTCCCCATGGTGAGCAGAAACAGAACATACTCCCAGCTTCAGAGGGCAAATTCATTGTTTGCTTTGAAGTATATTCACAGAAAATCAGCCTCATTCATATCGGCATTGCTATGATAATTATAACTAATAGTAAGATATTTGGTTAAACATTTCACAGCCTTCAAAGCATTTCTGCATCATCTCATTTTATCATTTCATTCATATTAATAGAGAAATACAAAAACACATCCTGGAGCTAAATCTAATAATACATTATGTTTACATCTATATAAAAGAGCATATTCATAGGAAATAAGATTCGAAGGAAATAAGCCAAAATACCCACAGTGGAGGGATTATGAATGATTTATTTTCTTCTCTGAGTTCACTGCACATTTTATAATGTGGCTTTGTTTTATTCTTTCATTCAGCAAATATTTGTCAAACAGCTCTTATGAGTGAAGTGATGGCAAGACAGTGGTGAACAAAACAGAGCCAGTGTCTGTCCTCGAAGAGCCTATGTATTCGTGGTTTCTTTCACAAAGAAAAAAATAATTAAATAATATGAAGCCAAGTATAATTTGAGGATTGGCCCCCATTCGTACATTTTCGTTCTGTCATGAGTACTGTACTGACCTAGCTAGCTAACCCTGGACGTCAAACACCAGGTTTCATTGATTCTAAGATCCATGATTTTTTTCACATTTTAACATTTCTGAAATCAGGATTTGTTTCACGATAAATCACATGTCACAGTTACAATTGGCAGTGCCCTTACTTTCTTGGTGGCACATAAAATGATGGAGTGTCTTACAGTCTATGGTGGCTACATTGTCCCCATTCCAGAATTCTGCTGCTTCAGGTCAAAGTTCAAAGGGCTCTTTCAAGAAGGTCAGGAAGGGTGACAGTACCGTGAGGAGTAAAAGGCTCTTTTCTGGAAAGCTGGTGTGAATCGTGTTAGGGAAAATGACTCCTGAGCGAGGGTCTTTAGGAATTCTGCCATGAATCTTTTTAAAAATGGGTGGTAAAAATCATCCTGCCCATGCAAAATTATACACACTCCTTTCAAAGTTTTTCTGTTTTATTTGTAATCTGAAAGAACACACTATTGGGCTGTAGCTTTTTTAAATCAGTATTTGCCCTAAACCCAGTTAAGCCAAGGTATGCCCCTGCCTTCGTGGACAACCTGAGAACCATCCCGCTGGCTAGTTTGGCTGCTGCAGGAGCCCCTGCGTGGTCCCAGGACCACCACCACCAAAGACAGGCAGTGGGATAGCACGCTGGGCAGAAGCAGGACCCCGGAAGGGCAGACAAGGAAGTTGCTGCTAACTGAGCACACACTACCTGCCAGGCATTAAGCTGCAGAGACATTTGACATGCATTATCTCACTTAATCTCCCACACTACCCCGAAAGCTGTTATCTCCATGACCCAGATGACAAAACTACATAGTTAAGTAACTTGCTTAAGGTCACATAGCTAAGGGAATAGCAGGGCTCGGCTTTGAGCCCAGATCTATGTGTAGAGAGAAAACCAGGCAGGGAGCCCACGGGCCTTGATTCCAGTCCTGACTCTGCCATGAGATGTTGGACGGGTTGTTTTTCTCCCTGGGCCTCAGGTTTCCCCTCCATTAAATGGTAGGACTGAGTTAGATGACCTGAAATGGCCTCCACCATTAACAGCCTGGGAGTCCCTGACCAAGTCACTCAAGCACACAGGTATCCTCTGGAAGTCTGACCGACAGCATTTTCATACCCGCTCCCTGCTCTGCCAGCCAGTGACTCCCTCCTTCATGCCAGCTGTCGTGGGGTGCTGTTAAGGTATATTGGAGCAAGGATTCTGGGAAGCAGAACCTGGGTTCCTGCTCGTGAGAAGCAGGAGCTGGGGTAAGCCGCAACCCTAATTCAGAAGAGAGGCTCACTAGTAGTGCCCCTTCCTCAGCCTCCACATAGTGGTCATGTCACTACCCTACCTAAAACCCTTAAATTCCTGGGTTTCCTGTAATGTGTAAAATCCCAACCCTTTAGAATGGCTTCCAAGGCTCTGTTCTACCTGGTCCCTGGCCCCTGTCCAACTTCATCACCCACCTGTGGTTAACCACCAGGTACCATACACAGAAGAACCATCCATCAAATACTCCATATTCTTGGAGGCCTGCTTCTGTGCCTTTGCACCCACTGTTCCTCCTGGCCAGAATCCCTCCCTTGTTTATCTACCTGGCAAAGTCCTCTTCTTATTTCCAAATATTGATCAAAGATCATGGGCTCTAAGAAGACCTTCCCCGCTCCATTCTGCCATTCCCCAAGGAGCAGCTATGTGCTCCATACAATACTTTGTGGATTCATTTATT